ATTACGCAATTTAAATTATACTAAATTATGATATTAATTACCCTTTTTATCTAATGATCATTATTTTATTTTTATAGTTTGGTGTAATTTAAATTCACTTTTTTTTTTACCTTCTTTTATATTATTATGAACTACTACTTATGAAAGAAAAAAAATCAAACTTTTTAATCCATTTTCTTTTATTAAGAGGGATATTAAGACTTAATTGTAAAAATAAATATAAAAAAACTTTTAAACTTGATATATCAAAAATTCTTTATCCTCCTCTTTTTTATTATTTTTTAAGAGTTATTTTCTCAAATTATTTTCTGTACTTAATTGCATATGTTAACCTATGGATTCAAATGTGATTTGATAAAATCATTCAGCAAATTCAATGAATGGCACATGTTTGAAGACAAATCTCTTTGCATTGATTATATTTAATTAGAATTTAGATAAACGCTTATCCTAAATTCATGAGGTTTTTTTTTTTCTTTTCTTTTTTGGGTAATAGATATCTATCTCTAGATTTAGGGTACATGTTGCATTTCAAATTTCACTCCCCCAACAACCACGGATCCAATCTAATGTCTTAACTTTCATCTTCCATGCCATTTCCATCCAAAAGCTTCAAGACAAAACAGAACATGTACAGAGAGAAAGAACGGCTTGGCTTTGATAGATTATTCTTCTTTTCTCTCCTCACCATAAAATGGTTTTCTTTGATAAAAACATCAATGTCCGAATTGTGTTCACAGCGTTCAAACTTTGTGTTGTACACAAATGAAAAAAAGAGAACGTTCAAAGCTAAATATAATAAGAAGGTCCGTCCACTTTGCAGCTCAGCTGCCTTTGTCCATTCCAACTTATAGTCGTACAGAATCAAATAGCCGGAGTGAACGAATTAAAATAATCATCTTGAGTCCTGGCCATGTCCTATATCATGAGCATATGCATTTGAGGTCTCCTTAAAGTGTACTCTTCATCTTCCAATGAGTGGAGATAGACAGATTGATCCAACAGTTGTTCATCCATCCATTGCTCTTCTGCAAGAAAGGTTCAGACAGTTGGAGAGAGCCAAGGAGATCAGGCAGGAGAAAGAGCTCTTACGGATGTTGCCTGAATCAAGGTAGATCAATGCAGCTATACCTTAGTGCCATCTAGATCGCTTTTCCACCCTGAACTCATGCTTTCATAACTGCCTCTTCGGTGTACACTCGAAAGAGAAGCCTGTATGCAGAGCAGGAATACCCAGGTTCAGGCCATTCAGACCAAAGAAGTCAAAACTGTACCATATCGGTCGGTACGTATTGGTTTTTAAAATTGACCGAAATAATATAATATTAATTTTTATTTTGATCAAAATTCGATCATTTCAGTCAAAATATGGTGTACCGATCAAAATTTTGATG